GTTTCTGGACACACTCAAGGTCTAGTACAGCTATCTTTATGGGGACATTGCATTGACTTCCATTAATTTTTACAGCCTAATCCTGACCCGTTACCCTAAACCTAACCTCAAAGTTACATACTAGACACTAAATCTAAACTAAACTCAATTCACATCTTAGTCCTGAACTGAACCCCTGACACACCAATNGTGTGTGTGTGTGTGTTCATGCCAAGCACATTCTGTCATTTGAGCAGCCAGCCTTAAAAACTACACCTACATGTGTACTCAGCTTACAGGTAGGCCAGCTGCGTGAAGCCGTCAAAACTTCCTGTCACTCTCGTTAAGGCGAACCTCATTTAACTCTCAGTTAAATACTGTTTGAACATTTTACCCCCGGCCTCTCTCTTCATCTTTAAAGTTGGTTTTAGAGAACACRCTGGGAAGTTTGCTGTTAGGTTTGTGGTTGTACAATTGATAAGTGTAAGCCTCGAGGAAAGTCTTTATCGTACAGCCTGACAGTTCATGGTGACACACAGGAAACCATGCGACAACTAGCAAGCTGGTGGAAATTTATTTTTTCCTCTCCGAGTTTCCTTTTGTTTGTTAGCATTTTTGGCCACAGATAAACTTACATATAGCATACATGTTGAATTTGTTCAGGTTATTAAATCTGGACAGAGACATATTTAATTCATACCAGACTTTTCACAATGGGTTGACTCCTCTGGGTTTTATTCAGACTGTAACACATTAAAGGTTGTTCTTTATATGAGCTCATTTTAGCCTGTGCTAACATTTTGTTTTGATCATGGCATATTTAAAAATAAATTATATCAAATCATTTAATAACTGGGGGAAAAACAAATTTGTAAATAATTTTATTTTTTGATAGATAGATTGATTATTGAAATTTATAACATCCTGTCATACTTAGCACTTAATAGTAAATAAAAAAATAAATATCAAGAAAGTGTTTTGATGTCTTTTTATGAACATGAAGTTCATTTTAATTTAAAGATAAACTGGGAAAGAGTTCATTCTTAATGAGTGGGATTATTATTATTATTATTATTATTATTATTCAGTAAGAAAAATAACATTAACCCCACCCAGAAAGGCCAAACAATGGCTGAGGTCCAGTGGCCATCTTGGATTTTCTATTTGCATTCAGATTTTGTTAACAACTAATCCTGGCTACTACTAGATAATTATTCAGTTGCGTATTCAATGGCTGGATTACAGCCCTTTGTAAAATTAGCATTAGTGGTTAGCTTAAATTGGGACTAGCAATCATTCTTGGCTACACCACAACAAATTTCAGCTCAGTTAGTCTTAAATTGGCTGATTTATAGCCATTTAAATTCAGCTGTGGTGGCTAGTGTGAATTTTCCAATCCAAGGTTGTTTCCTTTATTTATATGTGCCCCCCTAGATAACACCTTAGCCATCCCCATACCCTGCCCCCCTTTCAAAAAAGCCTAGCTCCGCCCCTGTAAAGGAAATGAATGGATGGTTATCAATCACACATTTATTACGTGTTATACTATAACAAAGCTCAAGCTGTTGTGTTTAAAGTATCTGTTTTTCTTATGTTCAGAGACGTAGAATTTACTGTGAGAAGTTGAAACGTGTTTTTGAGACAGTTTCTTTCGTTTTGTATCCGTTGACCTCACAGATCCTCTACGACAGCCCCAAGGCGAGGCGAGAGGTGGAGCTTCACTGGCGGGTGTCAGGAGGGCCGTACATTGTTCGCATTCTCAGCCTGTATGAGAACATGTATCATGGGAAGAAGTGCCTCCTTATCATCATGGAGTGGTAGGAGAACTCTACGCACCAACAACCACTTCTTTATTTACCAATGTATTAGCTTAACCAGAAGATCAGTCTTACTGTTACAAGTAGAAACATGTTGTTTGAAATAAGACCACGCTTTTAAGTTTTTAATTTTCAGATAAAAAAAGACTTTTATTAGTTTCATTCTGAGCATTCTCTTATAAACTGTCTTTTTTTTTGTTTAATACATCAAAATATTCATATATTTTCATATAAAAACATAAGATTTATGTAGCGCTGCTGTTGCATGTCTTACTTTTACAGTATTTGTCTGTAACTATCACAAGATTTGTTCAGCTTTTAAGGTTTCTGGACACACTCAAGGTCTAGTACAGCTATCTTTATGGGGACATTGCATTGACTTCCATTAATTTTTACAGCCTAATCCTGACCCGTTACCCTAAACCTAACCTCAAAGTTACATACTAGACACTAAATCTAAACTCATCTTAGTCCTGAACTGAACCCCTGACACACCAATGGCATTTCCCCCAGTGGGGACTAGGTTTAGGTCCTCATAAGGACCACTTGGTCCCCACGACTAGCGTGTATGCCCAAAATGGTCCCCACACAGTAAGGAATATTCGCTCGCACACACACACACACACACGTATATATCTGTCACTTCCCTTTAGTCACTCACTGTGGTCTGTCTTCTTCTGCAGAATTTGAACACACACACACACACACAC